CTGCAATTTCTTATTCCGATATTTATTTTGAATATAATCTATCCACCTTCTCCAGTCTCTTAAATATCTTTCATTTGAATGATCCTTCAGGTACACCGAGATTTTTGCCATTTCCGCTAGATTTATAACTTTCATTGTCCACTCTTGGATTGTAGGTAAATCTTGCTTCTTCCAATATTGTGCCACCAACAGTCTTGCTGCAGTTATTAAATTCAAAATCAATTTAGTCTCTATAACTGTACAATCCGTAACTATACCCAAAAGAAACAGCTGTGGTGTAAATTTCAACCTCTTTTTAAGAATATTTTGTAAAATCCACCAGATTTTAATCCAAAACGCTTTAACCTTTTTACATGTCCACCAAATGTGAAAATAAGTAGCATCCTCACAATTACATCTCCAACATTTTGGTTGTACATTCGGATACATACGAGATAACTTTTTTGGATCTAGATGCCATCTATAAAACATTTTATAAAAGTTCTCCCTTAAATTTTGCGCTTTGGTAAATTTCGGATTTTCTTTCAAGCCTCTTATTCTCACGGCAAATTCCATCATCTTATATTGTGTCAACAACATTTCAGCTTCTGCTTTGTCAATCTTAGTTTGTGATTCCTCAACTTTACCATCTAAAATCTCATTAGCTTGAGCAACCTCATCAATTCTATCTTCTACATAACTAACATGTTTTGCCAGTCCCTGGAGTGCAAAGACTATATCTTCCCTTATATGTTGATTTCTTGTCTTAATTATGTCCTTCATTTCTTCCATTTGATCTGAGACTCCTTTAAATGCAACTGCAATGTCCTCTTTAAAACCTTCTTTGATTTCTTTCATGGCTTCCTGAAACATCTCAAGTGTTAACATTTGTGCTTGTGGTTGTAACTGTGGTTGTAATTGAGCTTGTGTATCTGCCGGAGGCAAGAAGGTTTGCAACCTACTAGTTTGAGCTGGGGAACTTCCCGCACTCGCTGCTTTAGGCAACACCAATTTTGTCTGCTTTGAAGCCATTTTAAAATTACACAGTCTCAGGAACAGTTCTTATAGCCAGCGAGAAAAAATCAGAAAATCTTTAAGATCTTTAAATTTTAATTCCCAAAGTCCAGGATATAAGATTAAATCCAAAAAAATTTTAAGCGGAGTTGTTAACTGGTAGGCATTAATGAGTTAACAAGCCTGTAACAACTTTCTTCTTAAGTTTCACTTTCGTCTTTGTCTTAACAAGCCAGCGCCATCTTCCCCTCCCTTTCCACTCCAGCTCCGCTCATATAGGCTCGAAAAGAAACGATGTTCAAAGGAATTAAAGTGTAAGTACTTGCAATTATGTAGTCTCCTGTTTTTGTTCTGCCTGCTTCAATTTTCTCTTTGTATCAATTAAAAGCAGGAGCGGACGTGGCGTTTTGCTCTGCCTTCTGGCAGAGGCGTCCCGGCTTTGGAGCTTTTCCCAGGTTCTTGGGGAGCTCGCACTTTTCGAGCCCCAGAATTAATTCTAGGGCTCTTATGGAGCTCTACCCTGCACCTGGCTGCTCACTTCCCCCTCTTCTCCCGGGGGGGAAGGTTCATCGCCGCTAGACAGCTGATTTTTTGCTGTTCTAGCGGCTAACAAAGTCGCGGGGCTAGCGCTCACCCAGGGAGCGTCCTCAACGTCCTACGGAGCCGCTGGAAGACCTGATGAGTTTTTTTGAAAGTCATCTCTGCACATTTCTCTTCCAATTTCAGACCATCTCCAGCATCACTAATCAACACCGATGGTGAGGTGAGGCTGGCCACGGGCTCATCTACAGAGGGTAACTGTAGTAGAGCATCCAATTCTGGAGAGCTACAATAAAGTTTTCTATCAAATGTATTGGGTCCAGAAATTGAGCCAGGCCGATCCCAAGGTTTTTTAATGACTTGAGAAAACAAATCTGGCAAAGGCACATAGTCATAATCATTTGATGGAACTGGAAATAAACTACTAGTAATTCCAAAATGGGAACTTGGGTCCAAGATCTTGTCACTGCCTTGTTCCATATTGGTAGCTATCCTCGCCTTGCGTAGGAGAGACTTAAAAAGCGAAGGTTTGAAAAGGCCTTGAAAGGTAGGTTTATCTACATCCGTCTCCTCATCATCTGATAGCTCAAATTCATTCAAATAATCTGACTCTGGATTTTCCTCCTCAAATTGACTACAGTTAGCTACAGAATGTTGAATAGTATTGTGAGACACATTGTAGGAGGTTGATGGTGTAGGTCCCGCTAAGAAACCTGATTGTTGCAATCCCGCTTGGAAAATGCGGGAAAATGTTTGTGAAAGTAAGGCCTGGAAATCCAAATTCTGGCCCTGTAATAACCCTTCTCCCACACGCAGGCCAGCAGCCATAGGGGTGAAGGTGGCCTCAGGGGCAGCCTGAACAAAGGGTTGCTGTCTGGTCCCCACAGTGACCCTGCTTTGGGTCTCTGTATTCATAGACTTAGCTGACAGAGACAAGCCTTGATTGTCTGAAGATAAATCAGCCTGCTGCCAAGTTATATCTTCCTCATCTATCTCTGGACACATTAGAGGTTCAGTAGTCTGAGGTAAATTCACTTCCTGAGCCTCTCTCTGGGGTATAGCTTGAGCTGCCAGTCTGGCCTTATTAAACTGTTTTTCGAGGGCATTATGTCTACGTTGATCCTCTCTGGAAGGCCTCTCCCCCTGTCTGCACATGGATTGGTCAGTAATATCCCTGGTCCTAGCTCTGCCTTTCTTGGATTTATTAGGCTTAGGGGATGGTGCTCTGGGTGGTGAATCAGCCTGTTCCAATTCTGATGAAAGATCTATCTCTGCCATTATTGGAAAATTAATAACCAATCCCCAAACAGTAATTAAAAGGTCAGAAAAATTTATACTTTCCTTTGATGGCTGTATACAGGAGGTCAGACAATGCCAGACAGTGTCTGTAGTTATTCACCTCGCAACAGCCGTTAACGGTCCACCAACGGCTCAGGCAAAAAACGCTGCCCTAGACCGCTCTAGCAAAATGGCGGCTGGGCGCAGAAAAAGGCAGATCAAATGGCAAGCGTGAAATCGGAACCTCAGCCGACTCGCCTTCAAGTGCAGCCTCTCTCCCTTCTGCCGATCTTCGTTGCGAAGTGCCCTCCTGTTATCTGGAGTTTGCTCACAACGCAGGGACTCCCAAGCCGCATATAATGGAAGGAAACGATGCGGAGAGTTGCGAGAGCGAGGGCGGTTCTGCAGGCGCGCCGGGTAACCAGCTCCTCGCTCGCGGCTCAAACGGCTGCTTTAGGACCGTTTCAAGGTCCCCTTTCCTTTGCGCTGTCAGAGAACGTCCAAAGGCGGCTGGCGCCCAAGCCAGGAAACGCCGAAGCCGCCCAGCGCCAAATTATCTGATCTTTTTTTAAATGCAACCCTCCAAAGTACAAAACAGCTGAGGTTTTTTAACCTTTGAAGCAAATTTGACAGTTTATATATCAAAACCAAAGGCACTCCAGTCTAATCACCTCTGACTGAGTGAAAAGATTGGACATGCGCAGAAGGAAGGGGCCTGACCAGGCTGTAGAGGAAGTTTGAATGGCACTCAATCTATCCAATGACGATGGAACCTTCCCCAATCGATGGAATATCGGAGCAGCGAGGGAGGAAAATTAAGCCATTTATCTATAACAGTGTATCATAAATACATAAAAATATTTTATAGATGTAATTTTGTTAAGTAACCTTCAAACCAGCTATCACTGTAAATAGGTCAATAATACTTATTTTTATAGCACATGATATTATTAAATGTAGATACACCAACTTAATAATCAATTTTATTTAATACCTTGAATTATTATTTTAAAAAGTATAAACTGTATAATTCACCTCTAAGTACACCTATTTCCATATCCTATTTTTTTGCTCCAATATATCAATAATTAGACCTATGACTATATAGAAAAATTACCAGAAAAAAAAGATGTTACTGTGCATTCTATTTTCCTGCTGCTTTTGGAGTTGTCCACATTTTAAGAGTTTATTTTAAGAAAGATCAATATTCAGGAGTCCTTGACTTACAACAAGAATCGAGCCCCAAATTTCTGTTGCTAAGTGAGACATTGTTAAGTGAATTTTGTCCTATTTTCTTGCCACAGTTGTTAAGTTAATCATTGTACTTGTTAAATTAGTGATATGATTGTTAAGCAAATCTGGCTTCCTCATTCAGTTTGCTTGTTAGAATGTCACAAAAGGAGATCACATTACCCTGGGACACCACAACCGTTATAAATGTGAGTCAGCTGCCGAGCAGCTTAACTCTGATCACATGACCCTTTGGATGATGCAACGATCATACGTGTGAAAAATGGTAATAGGTCACTTTTTTCCATGCAGTTGTAACTTTGAATGATCACTAAATGAAGTAACTGTTGTAAAATTGAGGACTACCTGTACTATACTTTGTTTTATACATAGAACAAAATAGTTATTTCAACTGTTCTAGGCTGCTTCCAACAGCTGTGCTGTTTTATATTATAGCAGGATTATTTTAAAAATTTGATTCCAATCAATACTGATCAGTAGTTTCTTAGCTGCTTAAGTCCCTGCTGCTGCTGACTTAAGTTGGGTTGGATGGAATATTGGAGGAAAGAAGCAGCACATGTCTTAGTAATGAAGTATCTTTCTCACTGCAACAGTTGCTAATGAAATACCCAAAAAGAGAGGATCAAGAGAAGAGAATATACTGTATATTGCTCAGGATTGGAATTCTTGGTCTCTGAGCTTGTTTGATTGCAGACTTTTTGTTACCAGACTGTTATGAAGTGACTGATCCAAATTTACTTACTAAAATTCCATAGCTAAGGGCAGATTAAATTTAAGTCTCCCCGGTTCTAATACAACAGCATAACCACTACACAACTCTAACACAGTCCTTATTCTAAACACACAAATTTAATACAGAAGAGGAAATGCTCAACAAAATATAAAATAATATAAAATTAGCTAATATGTACCTTAAAATTATCTTTAAAACAACATACCTTCATCTGCAGAATGTTCTGAAATTATTCAATAGCTTCAAAGGCAGGTTAATTGTTCCCAATCTTAAAAGGAAATGCAAAAAATAGGATTAAGTAACACATGGCCACTAATCCTGGAGTTATGGAACAGATAAACCAGCTGAGGGAATAAAGCTGAATCTCATTTACTGGCTGATTGCATATTGCACTCCCATTAACTGAATCATGATTTCCCGAATTAACTAGATGTCTTAGTTCACATATGATAGTAAACCATTAATTAACTATATCAACTAATAAAGTTAATTGCTCTGGGCCATAAAAAATAAATTATATTTAAATCTAATGCTATCAAAATGACATTTGTGAACCTGCACATCTGCATATATACAGAAATCAAACTGATGTATTGATACAAAGAGATGAGGCAGATGGAACAGATCATAAATCCACTGAAAAGACACAATTTGGTGGTAGATTACTACAGATGTAACAACTGTTGCTGAGATTTAGTTAGGCGAAGCCAGGAATATAACCCAAGATTCTTCCTTCAAAGTTTCAGATCCTACAGCTGTCATAACTAAAACCAAGAAAAAGGGCGTTGGTCCTATCTGAGACGCACCTTCTCGTTGGGTGGAGACAACAGGCAGGATGGGTACGCTCATCTGTTCAAACTGATAGACTGAGCCTGTCAAAGTTGTTAAGTCCCGCCCTTGTTACTGGGTAGACCCAGCTTTTGGCGAAGACAAGAAGACAGGCTCGGCGTGTGGGAAGCCAAACAAGAGAAGGAAGGAAATAGGTAGAGAGATAGAGACTAGACTGGCAAAAGGGAGGGTCTGGCTGCTGTCTCCACCCAACAAGAAGGTGCGTCTCAGGTAGGACCAACGCCCTTTCTCCATTGTGGGTGGAGACAGCAGCCAGGATGGGACATACCAAAGATCACTGTCCCTACAGTTGGGGGGGACCAGGCTGTTCCGAAGAACCCTCCCCCAAGAGAACTCACTGCAGCACCCTACGACCAAAAGCGGCATCTACCGAAGCAAACTTGTCCAGTTTATAGTCCTGGATGAGTGGAGAAGGTGAAGTCCACATCGCCGCCCTACAGATTTTGAGCAGTGAGGCCTGCGTGGCCCAAGCCGCCGATGTCGCAGCGCTGCGGGTAGAATGCACAGTCAGTCGAGGAGGTCTCGGTAGGGAACATAGTTCGTAGGCCTTGGCTATCATCTGCCGGATCCAACAACCGATGGTCGGTGACGACACCTTGCAATCTAAGGACACTGGCAGGAAGGAAACAAATAAGAGATTCCGTTCTGCTGAAGTCTGCAGTCCGTTTAATGTAAATGCGTAGCATTCGTCAGATATCCAGAGAGTGCCACTGCCGTTCGAGCCGGTGAGCCAGGCAGGGGCAAAGGTTGAGCAGGACAAGTTCCTGCGTGCGATGGAAGGTCGTATTGACCTTGGGCACAAATGTAGGATTCAGACAGAGTACCACACGACCCACGTGGAACACACAGAGGTCATTACAGATGGAGAGGGCGGCAATCTCCGAGATGTGGCGAGCCGAGATAATCGCAACCAAAAAGGCAACTTTGCACATTAAGAGTCGCAGGCTAGTCGTCAGCAAAGGCTCGTACAGGACACCCGTGAGAGAATTAAGAACTATGGAGACGTCCCAGGTTGGGTACCTATGTAGAACAGGAGGGCACAGATTGGTAACGCCCCGCAGGAACTGGCGAATCAATGGGTGCTGGGCCAAGGAAGATAACGATCCAAAGGTAAGTATCGATGAGATCGCCGCCACCTGCCTCCACAATGTATTAGGAGAAAGTCCCTTGGAAAGGCCCTCCTGAAGAAACACCAGTATATTGACAATCGAGGCCTGGAGGGGTTGAACCCTGGTCCGATCACACCATGTACAAAAGGCCCGCCAGGTGGCTGAGTAAATTTGGTCCATAGAAGATCTCCGTGAGGCCTGAATGGTGCGGATCACGTCTGCCGGGATGTTGGCATTTCCTAGAGCCCGCCGCTCAACCGCCAAGTGGTCAGACGGAGTCATTGCAGGTCCGGGTGTCTCACTGCCCCTTAAGTCAGGGCATCCTCCAGTTGAGGCAGTTGCCAAGGCGGGGCCACTGACAACAACACTAGGTCTGCAAACCAAGGTCTGCGTGGCCAATGCGGGGCCAGAAGGATTAGCTCCACTTGTTCCAACAACAACTTGTGAAACACTCGGGACAGCAGGGAGACTGGAGGAAACGCATAGAGTAGTCTCGGCGGCCATGGGGAGCGGAGGGCGTCAGTGGCCTCCGCACGCATCGACAGGTACAGCGAGATGAAGCGTGGAAGCTGAGCATTGTCCGACGTGGCAAAGAGGTCGATCACTCTTTGCACCCGAAGCGTGCAGCAACTTGGCGGAAGATGTGCAGGTGAAGGCACCATTCTGCGTGATCCAGGCGCTGATGGCTTAGCCAGTCCGCTTGTACATTGGCGACGCCGGAAATGTGTTCTGCCCGCAACGAGGCAAGGTGAGCCTCCGACCAGACGCCCAACCTCAACGCCTCTGACATCAGGAATAGGGTGTGCCCCCTAGGCGATTGATATGGGCCTTCGCTATAATATTGTCTGTGAGGACCAGGACGTGAGAGTTGGAGATGAGGTGTCGAAAGGCTCGAAACGCCAGGTAGACCACCCGCAGTTTCAGCCAGTTGATGGAGCGACGGGTGTCGATGCCATTCCAGGTACCCTGTGCAACTTGACCCAGACAATGAGCCCCCCAGCCCTGAAGGCTGGCGTCCGTTGTTACCACCACTATTTGCGGGTCGAAGAAGAGACAAGCTTGGGATAGTGCCGGAGACCGCCACCACCCTAGGGACCTGATCACCCTCCTGGGAACGGGAACATTCGAAGTCGAAGTGCCTCTGCCCGCCTTCTGCAACAGCAAAAGAAACCATTTAAGTTCCCTTGAGTGCAACTGGGCCCAAGGAACTATCAAGATGGCGGAGATCATTTTGCTCAGGAGCTGTGATAGTACAAGAGGAGACACAGATCTGGCTCGTTCAACCTTAGAAACCAGGGACCTCAAGCTATCCTGTCGCTCGCACGAAAGGTAGACCCTCCCTGCCACTGAATCAATCAGGGCCCCCAGATGGAGCAAACGAGTGGTAGGGAAAAGATGGCCCTTCTCCAAGTTAATGAAGAAGACATGGGCAGCCAGGGTCTGGAGAGTAAGCTGCAGGTCAGAGGAAGCCTGTTGTGGGGTAGAGGACTAAATTAAGATATCGTCTAAGTAGCACTGTAGACAAATGGAGTTAGCCCTAAGGAATGCTGCTAAGGTAGCCAGTACCTTGGTAAAGGTACGAGGGGCAGACGAAAGGCCAAAGGGCAAGGGCCGATACTGGTAATGGCGCCCCCCATAGCAGAATCGAAGGAACCTCCGATGGGAGGGGAGGATGGGAATATAGAATAGGCCTCAGTGAGGTCTATGGAAGAGAGGAGATCACCCCTCCTAACACTGTCGAGAATAGATCTTAAGGACAGCATCTTGAACTTGCGGTATACAACATACCGGTTCAAACGTTTAAGGTCCAGAATAGGTCTCCATCCCCCACACCCCTGATGACTTTGGTACAAGAAAAATACGGGAATAAAATCCGTCTCCCGTTCAACATCAGGCACCGGTTGAATAGCTCTGATGGAAAGGAGATGCTGAACCACTGAGTCCATAAGGGACCGTTTCTCGATGTCATTAGAAAGCAGACAGCACAGAAAGAACATCGGAGGAGGGGAGAGAAATTCAATGGCCAATCCAGGTCATAAGGTGGCCAGGATCCATTTATCCGAAGTGGTACCTTCCCAAACAGGGGCAAAGAGGGCCAATCTGCCCTCTATGGGAGGATCCGAGATGCAGTTAACGATGGCACCTGGAGAAACGACCTCCCCCCCCTCGAAAGGGCCATTTGGAAACAAAGGTCCTACTTCTGGGCACTCTGTCCTGAACGCCCCGCTGCCTAGACTGAAAATTCCCCTGAGGTCTGGCAGAAGGGGCAGCAGAATGAGCTCCCTCATATGATCGAGACTGGGGACGGGATGGGTATGGACGGAACCTCGACTCCCCCCTACGAAATACAACTGGAAGGACCTTCCTTTTGTCTTTTGTTTCAGTGAGGAATGCGTCAAGGGGGTCCCCAAATAGCTTGGAACTGGCGAAGGGAACCGAAGCCAGACGCCACTTATGCCTGGCGTCGGCTTGCCAGTGGCGAAGCCAGACCAAGTGACGGGCTGTAACGGCAGAGGCGAGGGATTTAGCCATGAAGCAAGCGGCATTGAGGGTAGCGTCCGCTGAGAACTGCGTGGCGGCTATAATCTTGTTTAGATCCTGTCGGACACGGACATCTTCAGTAGCCAAATTCTCTTGTAGATGACGGAGCCATAGGAGAGTAGTGCGGTTAAAGAACGACACTATAGATGCCACCCGGATGGCCCAAGTGGCCCCCTGGTGCACCCGTTGCAATATTTGCTATGCTCGGTGCTCCTCCGGAGGGAGTCCTTCATCTGGATCGCCAGGAACTGCAGTTTGTAGTAAGAGTGCGGCCACAGGAGCATCTACAGACGGGACCTGGAGAAGGGTAGCGAGATCCGGAGCCACACCGGAATTCTATCGGTCTGATGCCGTAGGGGTCGGAGCCAATCCAGGTTACGACCACTGCTACCGGATAACATTGAGAAACAGAGGAAGGGTAGGGATGACGTCTACAGGCCTGGATGATTCAGCGAACAGGTGGTCTAGAGCCCCTTTGGCCGTACTCGGGGTAACCGGCGGTGGAGCTGGAGAGCTCAGCTGGGCCGTATTGATGGCTTTGTGCATAATGATTTGAACAAAGCTTGTGGAAACAAGCCCGTAAACGCAGGCTGGTCCGGAGGAAGATCCTCGTCTTCTGACAAGTCGAAATCGTGAGATTCCCCCTCGGCCTGTGACAATTTGCGGCTCGAAATAGAAGAAACTGGGGAATCCGGTGCTTCTATGGAAAGAGCGTCCTCTTGTGCGGCACCCACCCGGGAGGTAGACACGCCAGAGCAGACAGAAACAG